GACTTCCTGGGCCTAGAGTCCGTCCCGGGAAGTCCTTCTCCGCAGCACAGAGGGAGCCGTTCTGAGAGCTCCCATCACGTTCTGAGAGCTCCCATCACGGGCCATCATCATTCAAGGCACCTTCCTTCCCCCAAACAGGGCAGCCTCGAGGCAGAATGTGACTGACTCTCAGGACCCTTTCCCCCCATGATGGAGGCAGCGCTAGACTTTTTGCAGAGTTCTGATGGCAGCCTGTCCCTGACTGACTTGGGACAGTTTTTTCCTTTCCGAAGGTTTTAGTTTCTTCATCTGAAAATAAGTCGTGGATTGGAGTAATCATAATGCCCTTCGGGCATGGGCCCGGAGTGCTGCTTTAAAGGTGCTACTGATTGGAAAGGAGACGGGGGAGAGGAAGGAGGGTGGGTGCTCACCCTGCCCTGACTCACAGCCTTTCTCTTTACCGTCTGGCTCCTCGGGATGCTGGCTGTGTGAGCCACTGAGTAGGGCAGTCATGATAATAGGCACTTGTTACTGTCGTTAGGAAAAGTATCCTAGCCAGGACGGTGGGGGTGATGACGGGGGTGACGGCCATGACAGAATGGAGGTGGCGGAGCTACAGGAGGGTCCAAGGCTGTGAGATCTACTCTCACGAACTTTGACTCAATTTGACAAAATCACATCCCGACTCTAACGCCTCTTCCGAGCGGTGCCTTTTGCAATAAGAAAAGGACAGGTGAAAGCATGCGTGCCCGGATCTCCTGAGAAAGGCCACGGGGTGGGTCGGCAGGTGGCGAGAACCCTGCACTGAGCTGAACTGGAAATGCCTGATTGTCACTTCCTCGCTGCTTAGCCACTAACGCCCGCAGCAGCTGGTCGGGAAGGTATCCGATGCCTCCACTGGCTGTCACCAACACCTGCCCCTGAATCCTGATCAGGGAGATGGTGTCATCGGGCCGCCCAAATAAAATATTCAGTGACATTGCTTCCCACAGAGGCAGTCGTGGCCTCTGCTTGGCATCGGGAGGGCTCGGGGTAAGATGTCCCGTCAGGCTCCGCTGGTAAGGCAAGCGTCCCACCGCCGCATGTCCTGGTGCGAGATTGGGGTGAGGGAGAGGCAAGCTTTGGCTCTTGAGAATGCATGTGACAAAGTGACTTCACGAACTAGACAGAGAGAGGAGAAGCGACAGGAAAAAAGAGGCATCATGGAGTGGAAACTCCGGGGGCTGACATTAGCGGAAGATCGGAGTTAGGAGAAAATAATAGGTATGCAAAGTCACGGGCCTATGCTCACTGGCCTCAACCAAATCGAGGATAGACAGTTTATTATAAGACAGAGCATAGAATGGACGGAGGTGAAGAGCTGGAAATATTGACAAATAAATTACTACTAATAAAGACTAATGAATGGTGAACACTTACGATGGGCCAGGCATTGTTCCAAGTGCTCTATCTGTATTAACTGAGTTCACCGTAATAATCCCATGAGGCAGATGCAAGTACTAATCCCATTTGATGCAGATATGAGATAGCAGCGCAGAATGGCTGAGGACCTTGACCAAGTTGGCACAGCTATCCAAGCACCGCAGCTCAGCGTTCATGCATTTAACCATTGCACCGCACGGCTTCTCGTCAGAGGTACAAGGAGGGGGCTCGTCCCCCTTTCTCTGAACGCGGAGAGGAGACTTGATCCTTTCCAGCTGGGCCCTGCTTTGGAACAGCGACCTGGTTCCATCAGCCTTGGCATGGAAACACAGAGGCCCTCAAATTGCTGTGGGAGTCAGTTGTCCTTGTGAAAGCCACACTCCTGAGGTAGAGTGGGCGCCCTCCCTGCCACCCCTGCCCTGCAGGAGACCATGCCGCCTCCTGACTCCACTCCGCCAGCGCCTGCTGCTCCCACACGGGTGAACCTTGAGCCCCATGGGATGAATTCGCTTGGCTGGTCACCAAGAGTGGCCTGTCTCAAAGTGGATGCTGATGGAGGAGTCGGGGTTGGGGGAGGGGGGGAGAAACAGGCCCAACTGTGCTGGTCTGTTGAGAATTCCTGACCTAACCAGCTTTATCAGGTCGGAGGGAAGGACCTCCGCAGCTATCTCAGTCACAGACTAGAAGCTGAAGGAAGCAAGCCTCAAGGTGTTATTTCATCTGAAAGAAGAAATCTTACAAACTGGCTCATGCAAGCCCCCTTTATTTTAAAATCAAGAAATGGGCTCAGGGAGATGCGAGACCAGTCTAAAGCCATACGGCTCATGGCTAACAGAGACAGGATTTGAATCAAAAGCTCCTGAGACCCCCACTCTTCATCCTCCCCCATGACTGCATGCCTTCTAGCCACCAGACCAATTTCCCCATTTCAGCTCTCAGGATCCTGCACCTCTGCCAACGTCCCCGCAGGCGGCCGAGAGACTGTGCTGGGACTTGTGCAGTAGTATGATAGAGAAGATCACCTCAGATCTGTTCTCTTTCCTTTGACACATGCTTCCCAGATTGAACCCCTTCACGGGGTCAGGGAAAGCTGGGGATCAAAGGTCTACCCACCGTGTCCATTCCCATGGAAAGAAAGAATATGAGCAAAAAAAGGAAGCCAGGGGCTCTGGCAGGATTCCTGAAGTGTGGTCTCCTGGGGAGGCTTCGGAGAAAATAGTAACAACGAGCAGAGGCTGAGCATTCACTGTGTGCCAGCCAGCGGGCTAAGAGGTTCCCCTGCATTATCTCACTTACTCTCATGACAACCAGAGAGGTCGGTACTGCAATGATCCCCACTCACCCAGAAAGGGAGATGAGACTTGACTTGCCCACTTTCCCAAACTTGTTCCCAAACTCTGCCTACCAACAAAGCCACTCACGATTCAAACCGTGTCTTGGGATGTGGGGTAGGGAGGTGAGATGGTTGATCTTAGCCTCACACTTTGTCCTTTGACATTATCTCTGCTGCCAGGACCTTCTTCCTGTAGCCACGGGCTGACTATAATGTGCGTGTACGTGGGGCTAAATAATGTGCATGGATGTCAGGCTAAACATAATGTGCATGTATGTCGTGGAGAAGGCAGGGGTGTGCTGTCCACAAACTCAGTGCCGGGGTGTCTAAAAGGCAAAACCCTAACACCATGTGGTGACAATCATTTTCTATCTCTTGGCTCCTGGTGGGACATGCTGCCCTTCCCTCCCCCGCTGGGACAGGGGCATGCCCAGCACGGCCTCCGGCCTTCCGTGGCGCCCTGTCCAGCGGGGGACGTGAGGATTCTGTTATTTCCTTTTGCAGCTCCTCTTGAGGAATTCACGTCCTCCGACCAGCCCCAGGACATCGCTAAAAATAACCTCCGGTTTTTAAACCGAAAGCTCTGCCTGTCGGAGGTCTTCCTGGTGGGTGCGGGCGCGGGGCCGGAAGGGCCATGCCGGAGTCCCCGAGGTCAGCCCGGGCCTCACGCCGCTGTGGCCTTCCTCTTTCCAAGGGAGCCCGGGCCTCATGAGTCACCCCGCGGAGCTGGTTGGAGGAGAGCGGTCAGGTGGCCCCTCTGGCACCGCGGTGGCTGTCAGGCCCTGGGCCCAGGGTGCAAGGGGAGGAAGGAGAGTTTCTAAAGATACGGAGTAAATTCCTGAGGTGGCGCCTGGCCTGATTCTAACCCAGTCCGGCCAGCCCGGCGGGTGGAAGGAGGCAGGACCCTGCTAAGCTGCCTGGGAGCCAGTTCTCCATCCTGGGCCGGGGTGTGTTCACTTCTGTCGCCTGGCCGCCTGGAGTTGCCTGCCCTTGTCTGAGAAGGGTGCTGGGCCATTTGTCCATTTGTCCAGCGGGAGAAAAGAGGTCCCTACCAGACGGCGCGGCTCGCGGCCTCCTCCTGCTGCTGTCCCTCTCCGCACTGGCCATGAGCAGCGCTCTCAGAGTGGGGGACAGGCCCCTCTGCTCCTCTGGCCCAGGCATCTCCAGAAGCCCCGGGAGCCCCCCACTTTGCTCCTCTGGGCGGCTTCCTGGGAAAACAGAAGAGCTATAGAGCCCAAGGGTCTGGAGGGTATGAGTCGGGGGACAGGCTCCGAGAGCTAGGCTGAGGCCCGGGGTGACCTCATGGAGCCTTAAATAGTCACGAGGCCTCGGCAGTAGCTACAATGAGACCGACCCTCAACTTGCTTCCGTTTGCCCCTCTCGCATTTTCCAAACCCACCCAGGCCTCTGAAGCTGGGCTCAGAGGGCCAGTCCCCGTAGCGAGGAGGCCCGCCTGCACAGTAGCAGAAGTTGAAGCAATGTCCCCAGGGCCTGGCAGCCCCCTCACCGGGTGGCAGTGACTGTCACCTGCCTGTCTCAAAGAAGAACGGGTGGGGGGTGTCTACTCATCTCCCCGGGGCTGTTCAGGTGACAGTCCCAGGCCTGTTGGCCACAGCGTATCTCACATGTCTCACAGGTTGTAACAGGTAACATCAGGGGTTCTTCTTCTGGAGAGGCCGAGGCTGAGGGGCAGCCGGAGGCACTGTCATTCAGAAGTCCTTCCCCGTGGAGGACAGAGCTTGAGGAAGTAAGGAGGTGCAGCTGTGTGAGGGGCTGGAAGTCTGAGACCAAGAGGAATTTTGTTTGCGATGTCCCGCTCTGGGAGTAGTTGGCCAGGGGAGCCCAGGAGAGGGCCTGCCTCTCAAACATTTAAAACGGGGAGATTTCCACCTGACGGGGAGAGGGCAGACGCGATGCCCGGGAGGGAAGACTGGCTTTAGTCCCGACCCGGGATCCACTGGCCCGGTGAACTTGAACTGTCTTTTAACCTCTCTGAGAGATAAAAACGGTGTCTTAAGAGGACAGGAATAGAGATGTTTTGTAAAGCAAAAGAAAGGAATTTACAGCGTAAAGGCTGGAGACCAAAATAGATAATAGGATTCCCTGAACAACCCCAAGAGGGAGAAAGTCTGCTAAAAATAGAAACACTGAAGTACGCAAGGAAGAGGCGCAGAGCCAGCCGGGGCTGGGACTCCGGGTCAGGCCACCCGATTCTCTCCTCTCAGGACCGATTTCCCGTCTGACCTCCCTGCCTTGTGTTTTCCAGAACCATGTGAGGGCCAACCCAGGACGGCGGCGTGGATGAGCGCTCAGAGGATCCGCCTCCTGGTCCTTGCCCCGCTCAGCATGGAACAGAGGAGGCCCTGGCCACGGGCGGAGGTCGACAGCCGGTCTGTGGTCTTGCTCTCCGTGGTCTGGGTGCTGCTGGCCCCCCCGGCAGCTGGCATGCCTCAGTTCAGCACCTTCCACTCTGAGAACCGAGACTGGACCTTCAACCACTTGACTGTCCACCGAGGGACGGGGGCAGTGTACGTCGGGGCCATCAACCGGGTCTACAAGCTGACGGGCAACCTGACCATCCAGGTGGCTCACATGACTGGGCCGCGGGAGGACAACAAGTCTTGTTACCCGCCCCTCACCGTGCAGCCCTGCAGCGAGGCGCTCACCCTCACCAACAACGTCAACAAGCTGCTCATCATTGACTACCCCGAGAACCGCCTGCTGGCCTGTGGGAGCCTCTACCAGGGGGTCTGCAAGCTGCTGCGGCTGGACGACCTCTTTATCCTGGCGGAGCCGTTCCACAAGAAGGAGCACTACCTGTCCAGCGTCAACAAGACGGGGACGATGTACGGGGTGATCGTGCGCTCCGAGGGGCAGGACGGCAAGCTCTTCATCGGCACGGCCGTGGACGGAAAGCAGGATTACTTCCCCACCCTGTCCAGCAGGAAGCTGCCTCGCGACCCCGAGTCCTCCGCCATGCTGGACTACGAGCTGCACAGTGACTTCGTGTCCTCCCTCATCAAGATCCCCTCCGACACCTTGGCCCTGGTCTCCCACTTCGACATCTTCTACATCTACGGCTTCGCCAGCGGGGGCTTCGTCTACTTCCTCACGGTGCAGCCCGAGACCCCCGAGGGGGTGGCCATCAACTCGGCCGGAGACCTGTTCTACACCTCGCGCATCGTGAGGCTCTGCAAGAATGACCCCAAGTTCCACTCCTACGTGTCCCTGCCTTTCGGCTGCACGCGGGCTGGGGTGGAGTACCGCCTCCTGCAGGCGGCTTACCTCGCCAAGCCTGGGGCCTCCCTGGCCCAGGCCTTCAACATCAGCAGCCAGGATGACGTGCTCTTCGCCATCTTCTCCAAAGGGCAGAAGCAGTACCACCACCCGCCCGATGACTCCGCCCTCTGTGCCTTCCCCATCCCTGCCATCAACTTGCAGATCAAGGAGCGCCTGCAGTCCTGCTACCAGGGCGAGGGCCACCTGGAGCTCAACTGGCTGCTGGGGAAGGAAGTCCAGTGCACCAAGGCGGTAAGGAGGCGCGCACCTGCTCTGCCCCTGATGTGGAGCTCCGGCTCCGACTGCCCAGCCTGTGCTCTGTTGCACACCCAGGTTCACGTCATCAGGTGGTGACCAATCGCACCGAGTCTGACCTACACCAGACACACGTTTGTTGATCCACTGAGTCATTCCAAATATGGTTGACCCTTGAGCAGTGGGGTTGGGGCACCGACCCACTGTGCGGACAGAAACCCACTTATAACGTTTGACTCCCCAAAAACGTAATTAATAGCCTAGTGTTGACTGGAAGCCTTGCCCATAACATAAACAGTTGATCAATACTTATATTTTGTATTACTGGATATTGTATTCTTAAAATAAAGTAAGCTAGAGAAAAGAAATACTAAGAAAATATAAGGAAGAGAAAATACATTTATAGTATTTATGATTAAAACACACACATGTTGTTCAAGGGTCAACTAATACATATATATATACATATACATACATATATACACATATATATACATATATACATATATATACATATATATATATATTATATATAGTGTCCCAAAATTCATGCAAGAAGTAATTTTGATAGAAAACACAGGTTTATAATTAAACATTGTAAATTTTTTATTGATTCATAAAGTATACAATATAGGGTTATGTATGGAATAGCACATCGGGTAAATGGCCTCCACGGCTTTGCTGGCACATACGCAAAGCCATGGTCTTCATTGGTCTTCATTGTCCCTGCTCCTGGGCCATAATTGGTACTTGGTAATGCTTATCAAATTGAAGGGATTGAAATCAAAGGGCAACAGATATTAGAATCTGATTCAATAAACCAAGTAAAATTAGGCTTTTATTTTTTGTTGTTGTTGTTGTTAATGCTCACGCAAAATTCAAATCTTGCGTGAATTTTGGGACACCCTATACATATATTAAGAGCCTACACAACACCAGGCACTGCCGGCTTCAGTGGTGACCTGAACAGCAAAGCCCCCTACCCTCATGGAGCTTTCATTAGTGAGGCAAGACAAAATAAACACATAACATATGTAGCCTGTCAAATGGTGATGATGGCTGTAGAGAAAAATAAAGCAGAGAAAGGGAAGAGGCAGGCCCTGAAAGGGTTGATTCATTGAGAAATGGGGCCTTTGAGCAAAGACTGAGGAGGGTAAGGAAGTGAGCCATGTGGGGATCTGGGGAAAACATTCCCGAGAGGGAACGGCAAGGGCAGAGCACGCGGGGCATGCCTGGCGTGTGTGGGGACCGGCAAGGAGGCCACTGCAGCTGCATCAGCGCATGCGGGAGAAGGAGTGGGAGAAGGTGAGGCGGGTGTTCAGAGATAACAGGATCAGATGGTGTCTGTGCAGAGGCTTGTAGGCCACTGGGAAGCCAAGTTGGGGTGTCGGGTAGGCAGGTGGATATGGAAGCCGGAGGAGAGGGAAGGGAATTGAGCTTGACTGGTAGATTGCAAACTGGGAAACATAATCCGGTGAAGGGAAGAGAGGAGGAGAAAGGGAGGCCAGAGGGCGGCAGAGACAAGATAAGCAATTGCGAGCACTATCCTGTCAGAGAGGGTCCCAATAGAATATTCACCAGCTTTTCAGGTGGGTCCTTTCCGGGTCATGGTCTCTACTGATGGGTCAGTGTCAGAGCCGGGGGCCATTGGTCAGTGCAACTGGTCCTGAGGTCAGCCATGACATCGCTTGTCTGATTTTGCTGCTTTTCTGGGCCTGCAGATGAAACACAACTGAGGCCTGGATATATCTGATGCGGGTCAGAGCCTCCTTGTCTTGGGGCTTAATGCTTAAGGGCTATTCTCTGGTCCCCTCCTCCCTTCCCCGCTAAGGGGTCTAACCCAATAGACTAGAAATATGCCAGGGGAGCATCAAAAATGCATGGCCAGCAATATGAATGGTCAGGGGGGCTCTAAACCACACGACCAGGGATATGCTAGGGGACAACGGTTACCCTGGGACAAGGTCTTTGTTTTCCCAGTTTTGCCCTTTGCTAGGCACCTGGGGCTTTTTGTTCCTGGCTGTCATCCTTATTCTACTCATGTCTAACTGCCTACCACAAGTCCAAGTTATTTCTGTCTAGCCACGCTGCTTTAAAGAAAGCCACACTCTAAGATCTCACCATTTGAGCAAAAGTGAAGGCGCATCAGGTGTTTGGGAGGATCTGACAGTTTAGAGGACAGAGAGAGAAATGTCAGTCATTCCCAGGGGCTTAGACTCAGAATAAACCATTTTCCTCATGGTCTGGAGATTCTAGAGTCAGGGGGGATGGTAGAGAAACCCACAATCACCAGCAGACTTTTGCTTCTGTCATCATCTCTCAGAAGCTGGCTTGGACTATGGCTGTGTGCAGACTCTGTAGCTCTATCAGCCCAGGAGACCGTGGGAAATAAACCGAAACCTTGACAGGGACTCGCAGAGTTGAAAGGAAGGTTGATGATTACCTGGTCCACCCCTTTCACTTCACAGATGAGACAACTGAGGCCCAGAGTGGGCATGTGACACATCAAGGTCAAGAGGCTAGTTGGTCTTAGAGACAGGACTACAATCTAGATCTTAGGAGTTTCCCAGGGTCCCTGCTGCCTGCCATGTGGGGATGAGAAGGACAAGTAGAAGATGTAAAAGGTAGTAGCTGCTCCTCTGGCTCCATTCCTAGGCACAAGGTGTGCTGGTAAAGATTAAACAGCTAGCTCTATGCAGGCTGTGGTGGTGGTGGTGGTGGTGGTGGGAGCCTTGCCTAGAAGCATTTGCTAATGTCCATGGTGTGAATGCTCCCACCATAGCCGATTTCACGCCACCAGTGTGATGTCACTGAATGCAGAGATGTGCCGTCAACCCTCAGGGGCTGGCTCCGGCATATCCCTGCTCCATTCCCTCCCTTCCTCAGAAGCTCATCCCTTCTGCTGGGGCGGGGCTTGGGGTGTGGTGGTGGCTCCATCTTACCAGAGTTCAAGGTTGTCTTCACCCTAAAAGTTAGTTCTCTTTCCTAAAGAATACACACACATACACACTCACACACATGCACACACCCTCACATACACACTCACATACTCACACACTCACACACACACACTCACACTCACACACACACACACACACACTCACACACACACACAAGGGCAGCACCACCATTCCTACCAGCAGCAGGAGCACAACTCTCTCCAAAACACAAGTCTCTGTTCCTGTGTTTCTCGGGCGGGAACGGAAGGAAGACCCTGGTTTAGCAAGCACATGTCCTAGCTTATACGCCAGTTATTTTAAGGACAGGAGGCCGCTGACCAGTGAGGCACCAGCCAGCTATTTCCTGGGAAGGGTGAGAGGAGGAGGTTGAAGGGAACAGGTTGCAAGTTTTTCCCTGACGCTTTCTACGCGACAACAGTCATTTCCTTCCTCCTCTGGGATGCCTTTCCAGACCCAGAAGAAACAGCTGTCACGGGACTCCGGGCTCTCAGCTGGTCCAGAGTGGGCAGCCTTTGCCCGCGGGATTCCAGGTGTGCAGTCCACTGAGGTGTTTCGGAGGGCCCGTCACAGCCCAGCCCCAGGATGGGCACTGGGCAGAGACCACAGGCCCTTTGGCAGCCCCTGTCCTCAGGAAGCATAGTCTTTTTATTTACGTAACTGAATGCGATTTTAGAAATAATCATTTTAACACCCCCCTTTAACAGCAACTAAAGAGGATGCTACTGGTCCAAGTTGATACATAGAGGTACTTAGCGGTAGAGCAGAGGCTAGAACTCGGGGCTTCCTACTTTCTGTCCAACTCGTTTTTCATTGGTTTAAGGTGATCTTCTTTCCAAAGTGCCCTAGTCTCTGTCAATAATGAAAATATAAAAATGAATAAAAGTGCCCCTGGTCTCTCCTGAAAGATACACAGAGGCACAACACCACTCCCTTCACCACTGGTGACAGGGCGGCTGTCACCTGGACAGGGCGGAAGGCCTATACTGGACAGTGGAAATCATTACATAACTTCAGACTCTCCTGCTTGCATTGTTTCATTCGCTCTTCAGTCGTTCTCTCAGAAAGGTGGGCAGGTGGTTTGACAAATGAAGAAACTGAGGTTTATACAGACTAAGTGCATCTTTCAAATTAAAATTTTATGTTCGACATTAAAATGACCCTTTCCAATCCATCCCCCGTATAGAAAGTGGTGAATAGTTGGCTTAAAATTCTTTATGCCCAAAGGGAGGCGTGGCATCCCAAACAAACAAGAAATCCTCTCCAGGCTGGTAGAAATCCTGGGGTGTTGCCTCTGGACCGAACCACTGCTGTCTAAATAGATCACCAAAATGGCATGTCCACCGAGACATTAAAATGACCAGAAAGTGAGTTTAAGCCTTCAGCTTTACGAATTACCCTGGATCTCTTGATAGAAAGGGAATGGTGACTGCAGGTGAATGAGGAAGGTGGCTGGTATCACCGGATGCCCCTGTGGGACACATGGGTCAGCTGGTGAGATGTTGTTTGCAGCGAGTGTCAGGGCCCTGCTCCTGTGTCACACCTCGCCGAAGCCTGGTCCTAGGGCTGGGGCTCAGGGGTGGGCTATAGACTGATGGCCGTGACTCTGCTGTTGTTCACCCAATTTCCTCCCCTTCCCTCCAGCCGGTCCCCATCGATGACAACTTCTGTGGATTAGACATCAACCAGCCGCTAGGAGGTTCCACGCCGGTGGAGGGCCTGACCCTGTATACCACCAGCCGGGACCGCATGACGTCAGTGGCCTCATATGTTTACAACGGCTACAGCGTGGTGTTCGTGGGGACTAAGAGCGGCAAGCTGAAGAAGGTAAGAGACTGCGAGCCCGCGGCCCTTCAGCTCCTCAGCTGGGAGCCCCTCCTGGAAGGGAGCTGTTGGTGGAGACTGCACATCAGGCCACTCTGATTTTCTTGGCAGACGGGGTCGGATAGCGGAGTTATTTTTGTGGCTTATCTTCTAGCTGTTTCCCCAGCCATTCGTCAATGGGTGTGTAGGAAATGCAAGCGTGTTTCCCATTGCCCACCCTTCAAGGAATTAGGAAGGTGGGTTTGCCTAAGGGAGAAAAACACTCCGCTCTTTATCTCCAAGTCAAGAAGAACTGATTTGATTATTTGATTCTTGGTATTATAAATCGTCAACATCACGGATTCCTCCCCACGGCCCGGAGAGTTGATTGTACTGGTCAAAAGTCTTTGTTGAGTTCAGAGCATCTGGCTGAAGCAGATGAGGGGTCTCCATTCTAAGGACAGGGCAAATGGTGGGGCTGCCCTCTGAGGGCATATGGTGCCTGGGGAAGACGCCATCCTTCCGTCTCTCCTCTTTGGGAAATTACAGAGTCTTCTCCACTCCTCCATTCCCACCCACCCCCAAGCCCTGAGCTTCCAGGAGGAAGTAGACATCTTAACCCCTGCCTGCCCTGGGCACCTCTGCCAGCGGGAGGGCCAGGGCCGTCTGGGCTAACAGTGTGGGCGGCCTTGTGTGCAGCAAGCTTGTAGCTGCTTGCCTGGTGCTTGGGTGCGGAGACCGAGCACGGTCTGGCTCATTATGTGGGATTACGGCGGCCACATTCTTTCCGGTCCCAGCTAATCCCCGTTCCCTAAACTTACCTTCCTGCCACCTTTCTCCAGCCCTCCCCCCACCCGTGGATCACAGCACAGGCGGGACATCACCACGTCTCACCCTTGATGTTGCCATCACCCCTGTAGCTCTTCCCTCCTAATCCATTGAGAGCCTGGGAGAGATGTTATTTGGGACCGAGGGTGGCAGGGCGGGAGCCTGAGGAAGAATTTCCGTGATCTGCTTGTTCTGATCTGCTGCCAGAGGAGGTGAGAACAACGGGCCTGGGTGTATGTGGAGGTGCTGAACCCTCCAGACCTCTTCTGGTTCTCATGAGACCAACGCCCTTTGGCCCTTTCTCCTTTCCCTGTGCCGTGCCCGCTCCTCTGCGAGGGGCTGTGGATCCTGGCTTGGCTTTTAGACACATGGAAGGGAGGCTGAGTGTGGTCCCTGCTTTCCCAAAACGAGGGAGGAAAGGAACTGCCTTATGAGATTCCATTAAGATTTAACAGTGATATATTCCGCCCGCCGTTGTGGCTCAGTGTCAACCCATAAACCAGGAGGTCATGGTTCGAATCCCGGTCAGGGCACATGCCCGGGTTGCAGGCTCCATCCCCAGTAGGGGGAGTGTAGGAAGCAGCTGATTGATGATGTTTCTCTCTCATCGATGTTTCTATTTCTCTACACCCCTCCCCTCCTCTCTCTCAAAAAATCAATAAAAACATAAAGGTGACGTATTCCACCAGACAAGGTTCAGCTTGGACCTGGCGGCTGGCTGCTTCCCTGCTCAGCAGCTTCCTGTACTCCTGTACGGTTGGGTAGACTGCTCCTTGCAAGGGGGCTTTGGGCCAAGGGGCTTATGGGAGCCGAAGTCCAGCCTCAGCTCTCCCTGTCAACCATGCCCCCGAGGGTATAAACATTCTCCCAGAGCGGCTGCTCTTACTAGTCTCTCTGCCCATAGAGACCACCATTTTCTAAACCACACAAGGGCTGCCTGGGGCAGCAGTAGCCACAGGGTTCTGGATCACTCATGTAACTCCGTCTCCTTTACCCTCTTGAAAATTTTATTAAAAGCAGGGGCCATGCTTTATTCATATTTATTTCCTTCTTTCTCCCTAATTTTTCCCCGTGTGTGGTCACACATGGGATAGCCCTCAACAGTGTTTTGAAAAATAGAACCATCCTCTAAGGAAACTTAGAGATCATCTGGCCCAATACTCTCCGTATTCAGCAGGGAAACTGAGGCCTAGAGAAGAAAAGTGACTTGTCCAAGCCTAGAGACTAGGCCAAGTTGCTTCTTGCCTTGACACCGAGTTTGACACCATTTTTTTTACTTAAAGAAGCAGCCACAGAGCCCAGGGATGGATGCTGGGAACAATCTTTGGGCGCAGACTTGCTGGAGGGGTCAGCCAGGGGCTAGTGCCTCCACTCTTTTTGGTCTTGGATCTGAGTTAAGGAGTTAGTGTTTGCTGAATGGACGGTTGAGGGCTGAATGAAAGAACAACCTAGCCAGACTCAGAGGGCCCCTGTGTTGATCTTCCCCATGTCTCTGTGTATCTTGCACAGCACACAGCAGGGGCCGCTTGGGGCATCTTTCCAGGCCACACACCCAAGCGAGCAAAGTTCTCCAAACCCTGGCGGGCGAGTCGTGATGGAGGCAAGTCAGCCGGTTCAAGGGCAAGGCTGGGAGTGTGGCTGCCCTCAGCTTGTTCCAACCTGCAAGTTGGCTGCTGCTTCTCACTCCTCGCTGTGCCTTTCTTCGACTCTGTCTATGAGCTCATAATACCCCTCCCCTTCTCCTCTGTGCAACTCGCCCTTCCTTTCCTACCCACACTCCTTTGAGGCACCTGGTACTCACACCCCGGCTCCCGCTGGCCTCCCACTTACCCACCCATCCCTCTCCAGAGAAACGGCCCATGATGAATTTATGGAATGTCCCCAGGAAATCTTACCATGGTCCAGGCCCCATAGCTCTTTCAACACAGGAAGGAAAATAAAGAAAAAAATCTAGCTAAGAGCATAGGGAGGGGAGGGAAGCAGGCGGTGTCAGAACTGTGCACTCTTTCCCAGCCTGAGCAGGCGTCTGCCAGACTGCCCAGCACTCATCCATGACAGCCCACAGGAAGGAATAGGATGTCCCTGAAAGGGGAAGTTTAGAGGAAGCAGAGACTCATGACAAGTGCATGACCATGAGGCCACTTCCTCTGAGCGACAAATATGCAGAAGGGCCAGGAGGAAAAAGGACAAGTCCTCAAAGCCAAGATGGGAGATGTGTCATGCTTGCCCAGGCCGAGGGTCAGTGCATGCAGGTGACAAGAAGACAGGTGAAGCTTCGCCACTGGGATGGAACAATTCCAGAAACACCAGCTGCAGTAGAGTGGTCAACCTGGGAGTCTTTATCAGGGAGGACCTTCACCAGGCTTGGCTTAAGGACTGAGACAGGTCCACGGATGAGTTGGGGGTATGAAAGAAGGGCACTCTAGACCTTGGGTGCTATAGAGTACATGGGGAGCTTGGAGGACTTGGTGGAGTGGAGGGCAGAGGTAGTGCCGAGAGGATCCAACCCCTAAGAGAAGCAAGTGAGAAGGATCTTGGGATTTTCGCTGACCACGAGGTTGACAGGAGCCAACTGCGTGATACAAACGAGCAAAGTTAATTAGTCTTCGCCACACTGACAGAAGGACAAGTTCCGGGTCATGAGAAGTGGGGGCTCCACGTTGGAGATAACATTGTAAGGGGGCCTTAAGCCCACTAAAGTGTGAGATAAACGAGATCTGGGGGGATGTGGAAGTCATGCCGTATGAATACTGTTTAAAGGATGTTAAGCTACGAAGAGAAAAGGAGGAGACTGTTTTGTTCAGATACTGTAATTTACTGAGCACGTATTATGTGTCATGTGCTGTTCTAAGAGCTTATATCTACTAACTCACTCAGCCCGTATGTAACTCCATGAAGTAGGTGCTATTATTATCTCCATTTTATAGATGAGGAAATGGAGGCCAAGACAGGTAAAGAAATGCAGCTAATGCCCCATAGCGAGTAAATGGCAGACCCAGGATTGGAACCTTGATCATTGAGTTCCACAAACAGCATGCTCAATCATTAAGCTGTAGAGGATGAATTAGATGCGGCCCCAGAGGGCAGGACAGGGCTATTGTATAGGAGTGACAGTAGATAGCTTTCCACTTAAAAAAAGGAAGAGGTTTCTTGTGGCCAAACTGTCCCATAATGGAAAAAGTTGACTCAAGAGGGAGTGAGCTCCCAGTCATCGGAAATATTCAAGCAGAGACTGGATGGTCACGGAGCAGGGAAGCTGTAGCGGGGCCCCTGCACTAACCACATGACCTTTGTAATCCTGTCCTCGGTCTTTCTCTGCTCCTCGGGTGGGAGTGGGTGACAGGGCGGGCAGGCTGTGGCAGAGACAGGAGCAGAGAGGGAGGCCAAGGCCCCCTGGGTGCGGGCTTTGAAGTCACGGCTGGGTTCGAGCTTGCCTCAGAGTGTGATGGAAAGCCCCTCAGGGTCCAGGAGTAGGTGCTTGGCAGCGACAGGGATCGGCTTTGCCAAGGTGACGAGGGCAGGAGGCCCCGGGCAGGAGCCAGGGGAGCGACAACAGGCTGTTCTGGGCCGGTTCACTGCGATGGCATCCCTCCCGGCTAAGAGCAGGCTGTGGGAGGCCAGAGGACAGATGCTGGGTGCTAGCACCGAAGCAGATGGAGAAAGAGCAGTGGGAACAGCTCATGTATAGTGGTAACCACAACCTCATTTAATTCCACTTCCCGGTTGAAGGGAGGAGCCAGGTGCAAGCACAGGCCCTGGGGCGGAGGAGGGAAGGGCCAGCTGAGAAGGCAGCAGCCACCAGGACCTGCCCCCCCTTCTTCCTCGTCAGGCAAAGTCCCTCTGGTTCCTTCTCTTCATCTGCAGCTGCTAGAAGGGCTGGCTCAGTCCAGGCCTCCTCCAGCCCCCGGCCTCACACAGCAGCAGGAAGTGTGTTGCCTCCTCGCTTTCTGTCCCCACTGGAAACTTGCCTGCTGCTCAAGGGCCGGTGACGAGACCTCCACCCTGTCCCTTGGAGCATCTGCGCTGTGCCTTCCTCAGATCCCTCATGGCACGTCGTTTTGCCGTGGCAGCATCTGACACAGGAGCAGCTACACACGTGTTCACCTCTCTTGAGATTCACAGATCCTTCCAGGCAGGGACCCTCCTTTCACATTGATATCACCCATCATCATGTGTCAGATCCAACATCTCTCACA